CAGTCTCCTGCCGTGATGTTAGATTACGTCTGCTCTGGTGCAGTGTACACCGTGGATGTATCGCTGCCGTGTTATGTTTATTGTTCATGTCACTGTGAATGGGGCGAAGGAAAAGCACTTCCCGTAATTGTCCCATACCTACAGCAGATGTTGAAGCCGATATTATTCCCGCTGCTGTCTTTCTTCCACCTCATTATTCTCTCTCTCCCTCTCTCCGTCTCTCCGTCTCTCTCCCTCTCTCTCTAGTTTCAGTGTACAACCATCCTTATTTAACCCTCCTGACCCCTGAGGCATGGCGTCCTTGGATGTGCTGCCATGATAATAACCTCATGAATTGCACCAAGCTCCTGTCTCACCGCCGTTCAGGTTCAAACCACAGAAACACTATCAGCCAGGGTTAAACCTGCAGCCGTGACCTGCCATTAAAGTCCATTTATTTCCACTTTCACTGTATCTTGTGTCGTGACGTTGTAACAAGCTGTGGGAAAACTGACAGTATCTTAATTTTCATATCCCTGCGCACATGATCCCAAACTGATCCTGCATTTTCTCAAGGCTCTAGTGTTTACCGGGGCTTCGGGAAAACACGAGCTAATAAATTTAATTATGTTTTTTCAGCCATTATTCTCCAGTGGGATGTGAGGAGGCAATTGGACGTTCCTGTAATTCACTTACAGCGGTGCGGCGGTGAGCCACTCTGCCCTGGTTCCTCCTCTGGAGAGAGGGTTCTCTGATGATAGCGTTCACATGTGTGTGTGCGAGCATGTGCATTTATACAAAGAGGGCACCAGGGGTCATTCTTTTGCCCACTCTAGAGACAGGAAATGGCTCCAATATGGGCTGGAGTGTGGCCTCCGCTGATGCTCCAGGGAGTGATTTAAGCGTCTTGTCAGGACGAGGGCTGCAGGAGCAGGGAGCGAAAATGGACAAAGTGAAAAATACAGATGTTTTCTCCGGGCCATTTGCAGCCACAGCTCTGTGTCAGGCTTCAGAGGGACCCCAAGGTTTATTAATAATAATCAGTGGGGCAGCAGCTGATCAGAGGTGGGGGGAGTGTGGGGCAGCGGGGTTTGTCAGGAAAGATTTATGTCATATATTAATATGACACTGATTTAAAGGTGGAGTCTGTAAGAATATAAGGTTGGTGTTGGTAAACACAACAGTACTGGTTAATATCATACTAAACTAGTGAGACCAGCAGGACAACATTTACGTTGAACAATTATTCACTAGAGATTAAATATCACAATTAACAACAATTATTATACTCGACACAGATCAATTTAAACAGATAGTTTTATGAATGTATTTTTTACCCCTGCCTCCTTTCAAGACTCCATGGTGGGGTGGCTGGAGCCAATCCCTGCAAACACCAGGTGAGACATGGTACGTCCTGGACCGTTCTCCTCTCCGTCCCAGAGCCATATATAAAGACAAAACCATTCACACTCACATTCATCTCTACGGTGAATTGAATGTGAACAATTACTGTATTTTCCAGATTAGGGCACTCTAAGCTTGTGTACCAGTATCTGCTATTACTGGACCACTGAAAATTTACATGTTTGTTATTTTTACACTGACAGCCACTAGAGGGCACTCTAGGGCACCCTCTCGTGGCTACTATTTTGATTTTTGTTTTCATATACATTAGTCTACGTGGTATTTTATTTTTGAAACGATGATCACTTCCGTCAACTCATCTTCTCACTTCTTGTCATAACAAAGTTTTTTCCATGCACCAGTGAGCCTTTAAACTAACATTAGCGAAAAGAAACAAAACGGAAATAGTTGCTGAAGAGTTTCTTTTAAAAGAATAGTGAGAGAGTGGAAGGATCTATGATATATTTTGATGCAAAAAAAAAACACAAAACACAACAAAACAATGTCAGTGGTGCAAAAAAGGTTTTGTAGACGACTGTGTATTAGGTTGTAAGTGTATAAGTGGAACAGCCATACAGTCAAATAATGCAAACAATTGCCCCTTTGGTGCAGGTTGTCATACCACATAAACCTAGTTGGCCAGAAGAGCAAAATATGTGTAGTTCTTATCTCTCAGCCTTGAGAAAATCTCAAAAAGTATCAGCTGTGGCCTGTGTAGAGTGGTGTATCTACGGTGGCCTACAGAGCAAATACTACTACAATAAATACAAGGCCTGGTCTTATACTGAACAGGAATCTCCTGAAGCACACGTGATTACTGAGAGACCTGTCTGTTTAGATAAAGGCTCAAGTTCAAACTGAACTAAGCTGCAGCCATTTTGTCTCCAGGCTAAAGCTACAAGCTGCAGTTTAAAGTTTGTAACTGTTGTGTTAAACAGGAGAAAACGGAGCTCACCAGGACCTGACCAAAAGGTGAGCACAGCTGTTGGTGCAATTTAGTTGAAAATAGACGCTGTAATCAAACGCTGTCTGTCCAAATACTGCTATCAAGTAACAAAGTGTCACTTCAAGTAAGTTGACCTATCGCACACACACAATGTTGTTTAAAAGTTGTACGCCACTTGAAACGGATTAAACCTGCATTCACATATATATTCAGTGTTTTTTTGTTTTGTTTTATCATAAAAGAATAAAAATCATTGATCTAAAGCAGGGCTCCTAAAGGCCTGGACTGCGGTCCACAATCAGACCACACACCAAGACCATGAACTGAGCCTTATCTGGTGTAATGAATGTACGTGAGTAAGTTCCTGAAAACGTAATTATGTTGCCGACCTTTGAACCTAAATCAAAAGATCTGGAGAAAAATCTCGAGAAAAAAAAGTTCTGATTTAAAGTATCCATAATAAGGTTTGATTCCGCCTATTCCTTTATTTTGTTGCACTCATAACAGATAAGCTAGCTTTTCATATATTAGTATTTTTAGTCTGTGTATACACTGTAATGTATAGTTGTACAGCCATGTTTGTCTAGTCTATAATCTGCATCATTTATATTTGAAGCTACAATCAATATGATATCTTTATGAGTCTAAAATCTATAAAAAAAAATCTACATCAGTGTCTTTATCCAACAATGTATAGATAATCACTGAGTCTGTGGTCTGATTAGATCAGTGTTTGCTGCTGCAGTGACCTTATCTGTGACCTTATGTCAGGAAATGGTCGTCTGCTGAAGCCGGCGATTAAAAGCACATCTTCGCCTCTGGATAATTTCCCTTTCATATGTGAAGCTGAGAGAGATTATTATTGACATCAATTTGATGTCAGAAAATGTCAGAAGAGTCACCAGCTTCCATACAGTGCACACTGTTCTCTTGTTAGCTGTAAATGTTTCACAGCTGGTGGGGATTGAGCCTGGACATCTGACACTGCTGACCATACAAGGACAGTGGAGTCTCCCTGCTGTAGTCTGGCAGTTACTCATGCTCAACATAATCAAATCACGCATAATCAGCAGCAAATCGTATAATCAAACGTAAGAAGACGCAGAGTAATATTCAACACTGAGAGTCATTGTTATAACTACGACAAACGACTGAACAAACTGCGTCTTTATGTTTAAATAATTTTCTGTAATTTTATGAGGACGCAAATACGTAAACATGCAAATTTAGCGGCTAAAGAATCCCATGTGACTTAACGACAGTCATCATCAGGTCCAAACATATGTTGTTGTTTACAGCCATTCTCCGCACAACTAAACTGATAATAACCATTTCACCAGAGCCTTTTGGTAATAATCCACCTGACCACAGAGCAGATTGTTTCCATTTTTCACAAATGTTTACAGTAAAAGCCCGAGGCTTTACATTTGTTTTTGAACTGAAAAGAAAATCAGCTGCTTTTACCACATTGTCATTTCTTTAAAGATTTTAAGCGTAGCTGTTGTTTGAATGGTCCGCTACGATGAAATTAATTTGACTTCACAGCAGGACAAACATGACTATTATACCTTAGGAGGTACATCGCAGCTGTATCCACTTAGTTATTCCACTTTCAGAGCGGATGTTTTGAGCACTTCAACTTATTTAGTGTCATTGTCATTTTCCTGTTATAAAACAACAAAACCAACCACAAGACAAAGACAAACAGAGATGTTTGTGAATTTAGCTTAAAATTGATGTCCTCCAGTTTATCAGGACCATATTTGCAAAGCACAAGGAAGGAAGAGGCCAAGGTCAGGTTGATAGTTATTTCCCTAAACACCAAATGACATCTGCATATAATCTGTATTATAAGGCAATAACTGACAATGGTTGGCTCCCAGCAAACTACAAATTATTCTGGGTACAAATGTACTGTGAACCATGTATTAATAAAATGCAGTTTTAACATGTAGCCCTAGGGAAAGCTAAGGTAAGATTTACCTACTAAATAAAATTTATTTTTCTCCAGCGACTTAAACAAACGCGTTAAAAAAATTACAAAAAGAAATACCTTTTTTTCTGCCATATATTCAAAAACGTAAAATTAAAAACATGAACAGGGAAGTTCATGAGCTGACGTTCGACAGTTTCACACGTACATGCTGCCACCTAGTGTTTACATCGTCTACTGCACAAGAACCTTACGGTTAGTTCACGTGCACGTTACAATGAACCGGTAAATTTCTTGTATCTAAGACATTATAGATAAAGTATTGACATTTTACAGTGTACTGAAGAGATGGTTCAGAAATAAATCGATTTTTGTCAAGAAAATAAATTCAGTTTCTACCATGCGTCAAACACATACAGTACACACATTTATACAAAATTATTATTATTAATTATTAAAAAAAATTTGGCAGAGCGAATATTGTGGCATGTGGATCATTAAAATAGAAATGTTCAGTGAAATAACATACATTTTTGTCACCGATTAAATGTATAAATAAAGAAATTAAAAATGTATACGCTTAAACTTAAAATGAATATGAATTGTTTCAATTATTATGCTTGAAACAACGTATTCAATTTAATTCCGATGGTTATAAACGCAACACGTAATTTGATTCCGATGGTTGTAAACGCAACACGTAAGATGCGTTCAGGGTCCAGTTGAACTTCTAACAATAATCTACGTCACTGACTGCGCCACCATGTTGGATCAGGAAGTAGACAGAGTCAGAGCAGGAATCCCAAGCAGGACTTAACCGTAACCGACGTCTTGGTTCGATCGCTTCGCCGATACAACCAAACTCATTTCGACGCTCTGGTTGCAGACTGTCTGGCCTCCCTGCTGGTCCAGGAAGCCGCTTGTGTCTCGAACCGACCGTTTTGCAGCACCAGCCATGACTACACTAACCAAGAGGACTTCGGGCCTCGTTCAGCGGCGGACTGAGGCCATTCGCAACGCCGACAGAGAGAAGGAGTCCGGCGATGAGGAGGAGGAGGCTCGCCGCGGCGAGGAGGAGGACGAAGACTCGAGAGACTCGAAGGACACCAGGCTGACACTGATGGAGGAAGTGTTGCTGCTGGGCCTCAAGGACCGAGAGGTAGGAGCTGATTTTAATCATTAACACATAACTTAATGAAGCGTTGTTTGTGTGTTACGTCAACAAACTTGAAGAAGACTTGAAGAAGACTTGAACTTATTTCGCCTTTTAGTGGCGTTTGATTGGTGAGAAAGTGGAAGTTGACTGGTTTCCTGCGTAGCCTTTTGGCAGCTTATATTACCGTGTGTCAGTTTTTGTCCATGTTCGTAAACATGTGTGCGTACTTGTTTTGACGTCATTTGTCACTGCAGCTGGTCAGTGTTCTATTCAACTGGTAGAGAGACGGTGGTCGTTGAACCACGCACCTACAGATATACAGATGCTACACGTCAGCTAAGTAAACAAGCTCGGCACCCGGGCTTAACGCAACGCAATCTCTCTCCTGCATCTCCGCCCAGGGCTACACGTCTTTCTGGAACGACTGTATTTCTTCCGGGCTTCGTGGGTGTATGCTGGTGGAGCTGGCTCTCAGGGGGAGGTTACAACTGGAGGCCGGCGGCCTGAGAAGGAGAGGCTTACTTTCAAGGAAGGTGAGAGAACCCGCTCTGTTACGTTTGCAGTCCAAAGTATTCACGTAGTGTGTGTACGTGAATACGAATCAACAAAGACGTGTTTGTCCCTTTGACGTAGGAAACTAAATCATTGGCGGATTGCAGTTAAAGCAGAGCTCCGTCTTCTAGATAAAACTGGTGTAACAAGTACTATAACTACACTTAGTTTATAATAAACTGTGAACAAGGGGTCAAAAGACACAAATATTTGAAAGAAAAGACAATCAACGTGAAAACTTCTGTAAGAAAAACTAACAAAGTTAATAAGAGGCTCACATGGGTTAGAACTAAACGGTTAAGGTTGAAAACACGACACTCGTAAGATGTGTGTCTTAGAATCCTAGAATAACCACTAACATACTGGTGAACATCTAAACATGGTACAGAATCAAAATAACAAAGAAATATGTCCTCCATCAAGGTCGTCAAAATATTTCCAAATGATAAAAACTATCGTAAGAAGTACTGCCAAGAAGTTAAAAATGGTTTACAACCGACGTGGACGAGAAGAGAAATTTCGAACATTTTTGAAAGACAATTAGTCAGACGGGGAATAGAATAACTGCCAAGAAGAAAAATCAAACATTAGAAATGTATTAAACTGTGAGGTTGAACTTAACAATCACAACATGGACAGATCTACGTGGACATTGACTTCAGTGTATTTGGACATGTCTAATTCTACAAGTGCCTGAAGCCAGTGTTTTTTAATGTAATTATTAACCCTTTCAGACTGGAGAACTTTTTGACATTGAAGTATTTAGTTCTCTGTGTGTACATTTTCCTAGTATTATATGCCAGTTTTGTTTTTTACATCGTGTTCCACAAACATTTGCGTGCAATATAATGTGTACCTTGAGAATCTCAGCTGTATGAGAAGATGCAGAGACTCCTGTTTGTACAGGATGTGAATCAAGTTGTTACAGGAGTTCAAACATGTTTAAAATGTTTGCTAAGGTGATCTGCAAATCAGACGCTCCGACAGGAGATGTGCTGCTGGACGAGGCCTTGAAACACATCAAAGAAACCCAGCCTCCAGAGACGGTGCAGAACTGGATAGAGTTGCTGAGCGGTGAGATGCAGCCTGACAACTTTGTTAGGCAAACATACCACCTATCTACTCACTGTCCACTGTCTTCACACTGTCCACTATCTACTGACTCTCACTTCTCTACCTACTCCATCTGGTTAAGTTTTATGATCTGTTTCCATTTGGTTAGTTGTTAGTAGTCACTTGTGTACTGTATTTTGTGGACTAAACATCAAACTGTAGTGTTAATCATCAGGTCTGTCGAGTCGTCTGTTAGTTAGTCGCCTGCTAGTTCCATTTATTTTTGAAACATTTATTTCACAAGAAAATAAACAGTCTAACCTGGAACACGCTCAACTACTGCAGCTGCCAAATGAACGCTGTCTAAATACTGTATGTTGAAATAACCAGTAACGCTAACCAGTTCAACGAGTTCCCCATCTTATTCTCCATCAGGTGTTCCATTTATCCTCGTTGTCCCTTCTAAACAATTCCACCAAGGCCTCTGCTCTCTTTCTTTTCTGTTACTTGTTAACGGTTAGCCTTTTCTTTTTGGTCACAAATGTTATTTGTGTTATTCATAGAAGACTGGAAGTTTTTATGGCTTTAAGAAAGTATTTATGGTTAGGTAGTGTGGCAGTCAACGATGTAGACGATGCCCTCTTGTGGACATAAATTGCATGGTATATATTACTGATGTACAATTCGTAGGACCAGCCAAGCAACTAATAACAGGTGAACTTGTAGTCCAGAAAAAAAACCCCATCTATACTGGTACAGTTTAGTTAATGTAATCAGTCATTCATAACTGACTCAATTTTAATTATAAAATTAAAATGTTGCTTAATCTACCAATAAATACACTCCTTTTGAAATGTCAAACAACAATGTAAATTCCAAATGCATTAATTAAACACAGTCACTTTCATTTCAATGCACCACACAGGAGAGACCTGGAATCCCCTAAAGTTACACTACCAGCTAAGGAATGTCCGAGAGCGCCTGGCGAAAAACCTGGTGGAGAAAGGCGTCCTCACGACAGAGAAACAGAACTTCCTGCTCTTCGATATGACCACGCATCCCCTCACCAACAGCACCATTAAACAGGTGACACTCTCACACATGGTGTCAGCCCCAGTTGGATTGTAGGAAGAAAAAAAAAAAACAGAGGAACAAGTATTTGAAATGTAACACATGTTGCTGTACCAGAGTATTAATCACAAAACAGGTTTCAGGCCCTTAGGGAGAAAGTCAGATTTTTTTTCTTTTTTGTTCCTCTGGGCCAGGCTTTGGGGGCCTGCTGCGCCTCCAAAAAGCCCACATTTTTCCCATAATAATGCTCCCTGACCTGCCACAAGTTGGCCAGATAAGGGCTTTTGGTGAAAGTGGCCAACAACTGGAACAGTACTACAGTACTACCTTATGTGAATGACAGAAGACACTGAACGTCTGGTTTTTCCTGATAAGCCACAAAGGTTTTTACTAAATATTTTCATGAAAGATAACTTAAACCAAGCATGAAACTTGTCCTGACCACTCCAGGAAATCAACATTCCTTGCTGGTTGTTGCAGGGATGGTATTTTAATCTGGAGTTGCTTCTGTGAAACAAAACTCTCACAACATGTGTTTACTAGAGCTCAGAAAGTGGATGGACAGTGGAGTTATTTGATATGCAGCTGGCGTCTTCTGTTTAACGCCTGTTTTCATGTTGTTGCCTGCAGCGCCTTGTCAAAAAAGTCCAGGACTCTGTATTGGACAAGTGGGTCAACGATCCCCAACGTATGGACAAGCGGGTCCTGGCTCTAATCCTTCTGGCCCACTCTTCTGATGTTTTGGAGAATGCCTTCGCCCCACTACAGGACGACCAGTACGACCTGGCCATGAAGAGAGTCCACAGTCTGCTGGAGCTGGAGCCTGAGAAAGAATGCTCGAAGCCCAACGCCAACGAACTCATGTGGGCCGTGGTGGCTGCGTTTACTAAATGAAAAATGTCCGGGAAACAAGGTGGCCTGGAAGATCTGGATCTGGTCTGTTATTTAATTGGTTGAAGGACTTTGCTTAATAAGACAGACTTCACTTTAATGAGACAATCTTCTGTGGTCGGGGAGCCTGTCGTGCTGTGCATCTGTTTCAGATGATACTTTGGGGGGAGGGAGGGAAGGGGTACTCCATATTAACCTAGTGCAATCTGATTGGTGGTGGGTCTCACCGAGCAACATTTGTTGAATGGAGAAAAAGGTGAGGTAAGTCATCTGCTGCTATGACGGTGGAAGTAGTTTCTGAGCCCTGATCCTCACAAAGGTTCGGTCTTCTGCTAACGCTGGATGACATCACAGAGCAGAGCAGGTGACCATATGAGACATGGTAAAAAATGAAGACAAAGATTGACTGAGGCCAGCCTTCCCCTTCTACGCTGAAGAAAAAAAATCAAACACGTCTCTAACGTCTGTCCAAGGAGTCCAATCCTAGGCTCTGGTCTAATACTTGTCCCCAAGGCTTATGCAAGGAATCTTTTGGCAGTCTTTGCACTCTCGTGCAGACCTTCGGCTTTCTTCTACTAGTTCCTACTTTGGTTGGAGGTGTCATGACTACGGTTGTTGATAGAACGTCAATGTTGGGCTCGTCTAACCCCTCGCATCCCAGCATTCTCCTTTGTCAACACCAACACTAAGAGCGAGCTGGTGTTTTGACTCTTTGTCAAAATGAAGAATTAAACCCAGAGTCTACAAAAGTCATTAGTTTGTTTCTTTCTCCCTATTTTATGGGTCCATACGGTGAGACTAGTCTTCCATGTTTATTTATGATGCTAACTTGGCCATTAATCATCTATTTTGCACAGACAGTAGATCCGTCGGTTTGGATTATATTTATAGGTATTTTTCCTCAAGCGGAGTAGCTTACTTGTAAAGATGGGATCGTAAATTATAAATGTTTATTGCCAATGATAAAGAGAAAAAAGTTGATTTTTTTTTTTTTAATCATTCCCTCTGGACAAGGACATCTTTTTTTTAAGTTTGAATTTAAAAAGATGAGTTGGATCTCTCTGATCTCACCAATGACATGAATATTAGCAGGGATTGAAATTCAGGTTAGAAAACATTAATGGGTCACTTCACCTTTATTCTATATCAAACATAAATATATTTTTCTTAGCTAAAGCAAATGGTATTACGCCTTACATGTGGTTTGTATTTAGGGAGACAGGTGTCGGACATATTGCCCTTCACGTAAACGTATTTCTTTTAGCGCTACATTGGGCTTTACGACATAACCTACGAGACTGAAGGCCTTTCTGTTGTGGGTTTTGCTTGTTCTCCTCATGAGCAAATGGGTTCTCTTTGGGTACTATGGTTTCCTCAAACTGTCCAAAAACATGCCAGTTAGTCTTCACAGTCATTCGAGGCGTTTCATCGGCCATAGCTGTGTCCGTGAATATTTGTGTCTACACGTCACCACTGTGCTGGCTATGGATTCTCCTCAGCAGTTCAAAGTCAAAAATGTGTCATGCAGCAGTAAAATGTTTTTTGTTTATAAGAGAATCAACACTGTTCATGAGAGGTTCACATCTACAGACGACAGCAGCAGCAGTAAAGTGAAGAAACCTCCTTGGATTCTGCTTCTGAACATCCGTCAGTCGGATCTTGTCATCCAGCCCTGACTAAACCGTGCTCAGTGCTAAACCACACACAGTCTGAAGAAACTGTCATTTCTGTATGCTTCGATATACACTCATGATGCAAAACCATGATTGTGTCTTTTCTGTATGAACACGGCGTCACCTATTGAGCCACGTGGGACTGCAGGTGACGGTGTGTTTGGTTCCATTTACAGCCAAGAGACTGTGCATGCTATAGGTGGAGGGCCGGGGTTACTGGATGTAGCTACAGGGGAAAAAAAGGCTTGTATGTACTTATTAGTCATTTTATGTGTACGATCTAATGGAAATCAATGAAAGGGATCTTCTCTTCTGTCCTCTCTAGTTCTGTATGCTTTTGTATTACCACACAAAATAAAGTAAGGATCCTTTAAGTGCCTGAATTTAGCACTGAGTTGCAGTTGTCATTTTTTTAAAAACCTCTAATGGATACATGCAGCGCCCCCTTTTGTAGATACGACTATTGTTGAATCATTCATTCAAAATTTGTAATCTAGACAGTCACAGGGTAGGTAGATTCATCAGAATTGATTAATCATAATTAATTAACATTTCTCAATGTATAAGGGCAGTGGTGGCTTAGTGGTTGAAGCTGGAGATGGGTTAAAAACAGAGGTCACGTTTGGCCGTGTGCAGTGGTGAGCTGTGTCACATGACACGTAGTTCACTTTCACTTTCCATTTTCAATGTAACAAAACCTATTTAGTTTATTGCTCTAACAAAAAGCAAATTAAAGCAATACGGTATCTAAAGCTTGATGAAGTTGGTGGATTTCAGTCATTAGTTTGTCTTGACAGCGGCTTCTAGGAAGGTTGCAGTGTTTTCGCTGGTCCATCGCAATCACTGAAGTTAAAGTCTACAGTGTCAAAAGCAAAACAGGTTGACAGGAAATAAAAAGACTTTCCTTGAAGCTGGTTTTTTAAACTTACTCCAAAGCAGTGCTGAATAACATCCAGCACTCCTTTGGGGTAAGTGAACTAATAGTATGGGCTAAAAACATTGGTAATTTTGAGATTTTTTATTAATTTTCTATTTATATGTAATGTTTAATGGTTTAAGTTGTGTGGAAGTTAGTAAGTTCTGCTGTTAAATTTAATTTCCATCACGTCTCTACATAAGACTTGTTGGAAACACTTGAAGAAAGGGTGACTTTTTTTAAGTCGTTTTTTTGTTTTTATTATCATTACTGTCGGCTGTAGCACAGGAAACCAGAAAGATGAGAAAACTGGTTCGACTCACCTTCGTTATGTGAAAGATTCAAACACTACACTCTGTAACCAGTGAAGTATTACATTTTACAAATTTATTGACAGCTTTTGTGATTTCTCCCATTACACCAAAAGACAACAGTAAAACATTGATTCTTTGAATAAACTGTATATGTATATACTAAAAGTCAGCGTTACAATTCTTCTTCACGTCCTCAGTTTACATTCATGTGACAACCTTGAAGACAACGACTGTGGTGAGAAAACCACACACACTGGATTGTAGAGAGGACACGTGACACAAGTCGTCTCTATCACATCACTTCCGTTCAGCTGATTCTTCTGAGGCCACATCACCCTCAGGTTTGAGGCTCGGGGTCGGCAGCATCCCTCACAGCTGGGCTTCCACTCGCGGTCCACTGTCAGAAACTCTCTTCACGACATTTCCAGGAAGCGTATTTACACTCATCCCAATCATGAGCTTCATTTTCACCTCAGGTGGAGAGTCTATACTCGAGACTCGTCTTCTTTTTTTTTAAGGCTTTTAAAAACAGGTTATATCCATATACAGGTCATTGTCCATCAGCCTCCAGGGTCATTTGACTTTAGCCACAGTCTTGTAATTCTTGACCAGTATTTCCAGCAGTTTGTATCTCCAGTAGAGTTCGTCTCCTCGTTGACGCAGCTCGAGGGCACACAGTGCAACAGCAGCGGCGAGAGGATCTATGGGAGAAAAACACATATTAATCTATCAAATAATCACTGATCTATCGGTGAATAAATTATGATCATTTAAATCCAGATAAAGTTCTTTTAAACATTTACTTACCTTGTTGAGCCATTTGTTTTGTGTTTTTGCTCCAGCCGTGAGAAAAAGAAGAAAGCTTTTCAAAAGTGCAGTTTCTGGTTTCCGTCAGCGATGATGAAGTGTATATGTAGCTCTGGCTTGACAAGAAGGAACAGGTTTGAGCTAATGATAGCAGGTCGGGCTTTAGTACTGCACTGCTGCTGACGTCAGTTTATGACTCTGTTTACTGTTAACCGTTTAGAGTACTTTGACCTCATAGCAATCCTAAAATTTATATTTGAATCAATGATACTTATATTAATACGTAGAGGGTCATTTTTCTGATTTATGTTGATTTATTATTATTATTAATTCATTCATTTGATTTTATTATAAGACATACAATGTAAATATTTTAGAAACAGCAGTTTGTACCATATCATGTCTATTTATATTCAGATGTAACCAATTCCATGGTCAGATTATAAACAACAACAAAGCGTATATGTAAGTAGAAAATATCGAATATATATATAGGTAATCATTAAAGATGAGATATGGAAAGTGAAACTAACTTAGCTGTATGCTGTAATAATGGTGAGGTATGAGTCATCACACACATCATCATGGGAAGTAAGACATCACAGATGGCTTACTCAAGTACTTCTATTTTTCTTGTTTTTTTTTTCTTTACCAAGGTCTGTACAACAGTTAACGTCACTTATTTCAAGAGACTGGAGGGAGACGTACATGTTCACACACACGGCCTAAAATACACACAACCTACAGTAGTTGATGGAAATGGAACAGTGCCCCATTGTTAAGCTCTATGGATGTTTTAAAATACCATGTATATTTTAGACACTATATGAACTTAAAATGTATATGTATTTTTAAATACATACATATATATTGCATCAGGTTTCTTAAACATATGAACTAAAGTGTGAAACTAGAGCAAATATATATCAAATGTTTAAAGTCTCCATTCCTATTTGATTCTTTTCTCTCATCAGAACTAAAAGTACATTTGAATTCCAATGATGAGGCAAAGACATGGGTCGTGATCTGATGTGAAAGACATCACTGAGATTCTCTGAAGACGGAACTCTCTGATGCAAAAATATAGAATATGAAGGGAAGATCACTTCGGTATTTTCGTAGATTTGTTTTTAATCGGTCTTATAATTTAAATTTTGACCTTTTACGGTGACGGAGAGACCAGACATTCTGAACATGTTAAGACTTGCTCTGTTGTTCTCTCTCTTTGTCTGTATAAGGAAGTACCCTGGAAAATACTGGAGTGACGTGATCCGAAATGCCGTGACTTCAGTCAGTCATGAATATCAGGTAACACTAATGTTCTCCATTCAAAACAAAGTTTTCTTTTGGCAGTAAGACCATCACGAAACAGAAACTAATAAAAACCAAACCCCCCTCTTCCCCCCCCTACTTTTGATATGGTCAAATGACACTTACGGCAGTCACTGAGGTCCTGCTGTGTCTGGAGCTGACTGGCTCATACTGGCACTGGGCCATGGTGGGGTTTTTTCTGACGTCATCAAACAGAACATGCATCGTTCTGAATTGATGAAGTGGAGAGGTGTGAAGAAACTGCCAACATTTACAAATATTACTTTTAGAAACTGTAAAAATTACAGATGTAACATTAAAACAATTTAGTACGTTGATTGAATGTATTTTTTATCTATCTGGGGATTTGTCACGCAAAAACTATTGAGTAAATATTGCCTCTTTCACAGCTACTTATCATGTAATACACCAGAGTATTAGTGTATATAAATATAAAAGAGTGTTTACACAGGGATACATGTACAGAACTCCCTGTACTGTAACTCACAGACATTCTTCACAGTATCACAAGAACACAAACCACGACATACATGTAACAATCAGAATTGAATGTACTGTACTCTCAGTTCACTGCTGAAGCACTGATACTTTATGTACGTTTTACATAGATCGTGTGACAAAACCACATGAAAACAATGGGAACAGTTCTCACACACACAGTTCTCACAACAGCAGCCGTGCACATGACAAGTTCACATGATCAGAAGGGTGTAGACACGGTGCAAAGGTGTTGATCTCTCCACTGATTACTGTGCTGCACAGCTAATCACTGTGTGATTGTTTCATCTACAACAACAGAATGGGAAATTGCGCAAATGCATTTGAAGAGTAATAATTAGCGGACGCAATATTTTTCTTTGCTGTCGTCTGAGTGTGTTTGTGTTTGTGTGTGTGTGTGTGTTTGTGACCTACTTAAGATTCGCCCTGGCATTCTTACTGGTGTGCGTTGACAGCTCTCTGGTTACATATGTAGATATAGTCATCATCACCCACTGATGTCACTAGCTGTATTTGAACCAAATCACAGTATTGAGACTGAATCCATTAAATAACACAAACTAAAATACATTTAACAAAGACACGTCTAAAGCCTGATTTTTGATGTTACTGGATCTTAGTTTATTAGATTTCAAAATTAATGTGTTTTTATGTAAATGTGATTAAAATGTATTTGAAGGGTTAGAGATCTTTTTTTTTTCTCTTTCTAATATTCATGTAATTCCTCAAGGCACCATTCTTGGCCCACTTCTGTTGTACAAGCCCAGCTTCAATCAATCAATTATTAAATCTTTTCTTTGCTAATAAACAATTCTTATGGCAAGGAGTTCTTTTACGCAACTGTGAATGTGACATTTTCTCAAAGAAGACGTTTCGCCTCTCATCCAAGGTGGTCTTTGGTTTAAGTTTGCAAATAAGATACGTTTGGTTTGACACCTATACCCAGATTTAGGTCATCAAAGGACATTGTACCAATTGTAAACTATGCACAGCCGAGTGTCTAAACTAGCCAAACAAATGGGATGTGGACCTGTGTCAGATAGGGTGTGTTCCTGGGTTTTTTTTTTGGTTTACAGTCAAATAGTAATCTACTTCCTACTACTACTTCTACTTCCTCCTTACTTCACTTTTGCCACACTGTTCTTCTGAGTCATGTTTTGAGTCTATTTATAATGGTCATAGTTTTATATTATTATGTACTCTACTATCAAGTCTTGGGAAGGGTCGTAGGGAGAACCAATACCCTACAGTAACATCCACAATATTGCTTAATTTCAACATAACTAAATAAAAAAATATACGACCACACTCATATATACAATTATGAGCCATTTTTTGTCAGGCTTTACAATGAACAGTTTCTGTTACACTGTCATCTGTCTGCTTATTTAACATCACCTATACTACCCCCCCAATGACTTTGCTTCAGAAATACAAAAGATATATAGCAATAATAATAATAATAAAAGTAAGATTTCACGTTTCATGTTTAATGGTAAGGTTTTCAGCAGGTCTTGAGTTATCTTGGTAAAAGCTTTCAAATCAAAACTAAAACAAAAGATAAATAAAACTGCACTTCGACTTGACTTACTTAAGTTAAAAAAACATACATCTATGAACCACTAGATGACAGCACTTGCGTGCTCATTCTCATACTGTGGCAGTCTTTAAGAAAAAATAGAAAAAAAGAAAAAAAAAGTTATAAACGCAAACGATGACTTAAACATTAATATATTACTATTACATATTAACTGAAGTTCATCCTTATATGAACACACACAAGACAACGCGATGCGAAAGTTAACCAAATAAAAAACGACATTATAGACGACTAACCAGGATCGTTCGAACTAACACTAACCCTAACAAAATCACAAAGTAGTTCGCCACTCTGCTGTTCTTCAAATGTCTACATTGAATAGCACATTCTCTCTGTTCGGGTGAATATTTAAAACTACAATACCCACAATGCACCAGAAGCCACAACAAACATTCCATACTGAATAAGCCGGGGATTCTGAAATTATCACTGCGATATGAGGTATATTTTATCAATACTTTTTCACGCAATTACTGTATCGTGTCTTATGGACAGGTTCAGGTTCACACGTGACGTTTTGAACCGCATTTCTGTATCGGTAATATTTGGTAATTGCTAGCATGTTTCGTTGCCGATGTTAGCCTAATAGCATAGCCAAAAGTGTACTACAAATAGATACAAATTGGTATTCATTAGAAGAAAATATGGGACAGTTGATATTTTGTTGACCTATAAATATGTACGAATTCGTTATTATGCTTTCTCTCCATACTGTTGTCGTGAACTGGCTTCTCTTCATTTAGGTGTTTATTAAAAATGAGATTTCTCTGTGAAACAATAGTGCCTTTAAGAACGTTTTTGGCGTTTCAATTAAATTGAATCAACATAAAACAACTGTGTTGAATTAATGAGAATGCTAAACATCACTCACACGAAGATTCGTTTTATAGAAATCGTCTGGAAATTTGTATTCTTTAATCTCTACATGTTACACTTTCCGGAAGTAGCTACCAAAGTCGATTACTTGTTATAAAGTCGTCATACAGTATTGGCGTGTCCAAAATGACATAAGTCTAGTAATAAGTAATTCAGTATATGAAATATAGAGATTAATATATTTGAATTGCCATATATTATGAGTGCATACACAAAATACATAAAAATATAATTCTAATTCTAGTGTATTAAAACGTTTGCTTGAAAGAAGAATTTACATTTTAAAACATAGTAAGACAAAATACTTTAAATTTAAATTATTAAAGTACTTAAATGTTGCTTAAAGTTTAAATAAACACTGATTGACAGATTGACCAAACTTGTCATTTATGAGTTGTGCAGAAAATAAACCAATGATCATTCAGGTCAGTACTGCCTGAGTGTAGTGATTTGTCATCCACAATGTGGCCGTCTCTCTATTGCACAGGATTTCAAAATGATCATATCAACTGTGTATTAGAGCTGGCCCACCATTACATTTCCACATGAATAAAATTCAACAGGAAAAGGGAAACGATGCACATATTAAGTTTGGCCCATGACTTTGTTCCAGTTTTTACTTTTGGCCCATTGTGAATTTGAGTTTGACACCACTGCTCTATTGTATAGAAAACACAGAATGTGCATATAGATAATTTTCTGCACACAATGTCTTTTTATTGTTACAATGACCTTCCATTTTATATCACTGGTAATCACTGCTGCATACGATATTATGGCACTAAATGATTTGCTCTCATTGCTGAGAGGACTAGTGATGAGGGGGCAACACAAAGAGTCCATTCATTCTATGAGGCAAAACGTTAAAGCGAGACAGAATGTCATCTGTAAGGTGTCAGTGAAGCTGTGTTCTCACTTCATCTCTTCTCAACTGTAGTCACTCATCAAGAGAGACTTTTCACCAGACTCTGCGATCGGTAGGAATCTATGATTTTGATTGCGTTTTTATAAATGTTGCATTTGCTCTGTGAGCTAATCTTAATTTAGTGGTTTTGTTTTTAGCCGCACCATTTGCTCAACAAGTAAAAATAATTCTGACCAAACTTGCTCAGCTGGAACAAAGCTACGTACTTGGCATAAAACAAAATTATGTTTTTCGAATGAGGGAAAAAAAGCCTTTTCAATAATATAAACAATTGAACTTGTGTGTTATTCTTCAAAGTCCCGTTTTAAACAAACTGCCAAGTCTAGAGACACAGAGAGTGAAAAAAGAAAAGTAATTTTCCACTATTTCGACTGTCGATGCTTCACCTATTGACACGAGGTGAATACATATATACTCACACTCACAGTGTGACGTTCTAATCCTGAACTTCTAACAAGGTTTTTCCTCATTTCTGTTCTTTTAAAACAGGATACATTTGTATACATTCCGTAGACATCATCTTTATGGTTTCATCTTTTCAGTGTTGTTTATTATGTTTTCATTTAAGGTTTCTATTATCTTGCCTTATCACACATTTCTACAAAGTCATACTCATTTATGTTTTTTTTTCATACAATAGTTTTCAAATACGGCTGTAACTAACAATTGTTTTTAATAGTCTGAAATTTTAGATTTTTTTGTAAGATTTATGGACTGAAGACATTTGTTCCAAAAATCTAGAATGTTAACTTCTGTATATAATTCTTAAAGTCACAAAGTTCTTAAATGTGTGAGTTTTGTCTGAAAGTAATTTGGAATAGAAATGCGGATATTTTTCTATTCAAGAGCTACAATGTAATCTAATTATTTTTAAAGCTAAATTGTTGTTGACCTCTGAAAGATTTTCCAGGTGAGATTCAATCAATAGTTTCACATATAAACTATTTATAAAACGTTGGCCACTGCTGCCTAGTCCAGTCTATTAGATATTTATCAGTCTCATCTCTGTTGAAGGTTTTGTTTCCTGTAGCCAGCAATGGCACCAGGGGACGTGGTGCCAGACCATGCCAAGCAACTGAAGTCCAAGGAGAAGCGGCCTGGAAGCAGGTCTCTGAAGGCCGACTGCGACCCTGACGGCTCCTTTGTCTTTGAGGCCAATGAGGCGTGGAAGGACTTCCATAACTCCCTCAGACACTTCTACGAAGTAGGAGAACTTTGTGACGTCACACTCAAGGTGCAGTAGGACACGCTGTGTTGAATTTGGTTTTCACTTTTTATTGCATTTAACTGAGTGGATTGACATACGTGTTTCAATAAAATGAAGTAATGCTATTTAATATATGTATACATATATTTTGTTTTGTTTTGTTCTTTCAGGTTGGCAGTAAGCTAATACCATGCCACAAGCTGGTGCTGGCTTGTGTCATCCCTTACTTCAGGTATGTTACATTTTTTCTCATGTTTTTCTAAATATATACAGTATATAACTCACATGTGCTACAAAGGTTACTGGTGCAATTCCAGCTGTTAACAATTGGAAGGCACAGTGACATGTACAGTATATAAGGGAAAAGTGGAGAGTCTCTAGTTACAAGGGAAGTCTTTAACTAATTAATCTGCCCATACATTTTAACTTATTGTTCTGTTAAGTGGAGGAACAGGATTCCTAACAGGATCAGATGATGCTGAGAGAGAGCAGGGTGTTCCCTAATTTAAGGATCAGATGAACCAAGATCTGATCCCAGAGACCTTTTGTTCTCAGATGCCCTTATTAAAACAAACACTCTCACTACTGCTCCAAAAATAGAGGCTATTAGACTCCATTTAAACCTATGGGATTATGTGGAATGTTGACCTTAGACAGTGGTTCCCAAAGCACAGAGCTATTGTAGAGGATCTAACTTATAATATTTTCTTCCCTTATTGGGAACATTGCCCTGATGCTTTTTTTTTTCCGTTTCTCAATTAAAGTAGCCGATTTGCAGAAATAATTTCAAAACATTTTTGACGTTAACATGGGGGCAGGTCAACAATTGTTCTATCCAAAAAGGAAACGGCTGCAGGAAGGTTTTAGAACCACTGGTCTACCATGAGCTTTTCTTTCTGTTGGACTCAGACAAAGATTGATCTCATCTCACTGTTTACGACCAAAGTTGTCATTCATGGTTCATTTATGAATAAAAACAAATATCTGTTCCTTGGTTATGTCCTTGTGTTTCACATCTGTGGCTATGTCTACCTCTCAGGGCCATGTTTCTGTCAGAGATGTCAGAGGCCAAACAGCAACTGATCGAGATCAAAGACTTTGATGGGGATGCCATTAAGGACCTGGTTAATTTTGCCTACTCATCCAAGCTGACGTTAACTGTGGACAATGTCCAGCCTCTGCTGTATGCTGCCTGTATTCTTCAGGTAATCACATTTATTCAGATTCCCAGTGAAAACAAGCGGGGTTTGTTTTCAGGAACAGGAGTTGAGTTTCGACTTGAATTTCATTTTTTCTGTTTGCTCTCACCCTCCTGTTCTCTCAGGTGGAGTTGGTGGCCAGAGCCTGCTGCGAGTACATGAAGGCTCACTTTCATCCCAGCAACTGCCTCGCAGTCCGTACGTTCGCAGAGAGCCACAACCGCGTGGACCTGATGGACATGGCTGACCGCTACGCCTGCGAGCATTTCACCGAGGTGATGGAGTGCGAGGACTTCACGTGCGTGTCCCCCCAACACCTACGTACATTACTGTCCTCGAGTGACCTCAACATCCAGTCAGAGACTCAAGTGTACAACGCAGCAGTGAAATGGCTGAGGGCAAACCCACAGCACCACGAGGCCTGGCTGGACCAGATCATGTCCCAGGTTGGTGTTGTTCCTCCACCTGTTCTGTTAAGTATGTATGTTTTTTTACAGAATGAACTTTAATAAAATAATCCCACTGTGGATTATCATCCCTTAGGTACGTCTCCCCCTGCTGCCAGTAGAGTTCCTGACCGGAACTGTGGCAAAAGAAGAGATGATCAGAGGAAACCTGAACTGTCGTGACCTGATGGATGAAGCCAGAAACTATCACCTCCACCTGAGCAACAAGACCGTGCCGGACTTTGAGTACTCAGTAAATACCATTCCCAGGAAACACACTGCAGGTATTGGATTTTTTAAAAACGTTTGATTCAGTAGTGACTCATTTTACTATACTTAAAGCCATTTGACCGTTTGCTCTCAAGACTTTACAACCCCTGGGAACATTTGTCTCTCCAAAAAACAACATTAATATGATTAACAGTAAAATACAGCAGCACAAACCAAACAGTAATTTCCCTTGCTCACCACTAGAGGGAGCCAAAGTAATCCAGTGGACACATGGTTTGTGTGGTTTGTTAATCACTAATTTCTACATAATTATCCACAAGAAATGTTTTTTTCCCCATAACATCAGTGGTTTGGTGTCACTGATGTCCTCTTAAGATAAATTATTAAAAAATAAAATAAATAAAATGATAATGTGTATTCACATTCTGACCTTTCAAATGCGTCCCTCAGGGGTTCTGTTCTGCGTTGGTGGCCGTGGAGGATCAGGTGACCCATTCCGCAGCATCGAGTGTTACTCCGTCACTAAGAACAGCTGGTTCTTTGGTCCTGAAATGAACAGCAGACGTCGCCATGTGGGGGTGATATCTGTAGGAGGTGAGGAGGGTGATGATTACTCTCCAATGTCATTGATACCTGTACAACACCACCATAGGTGCAGAAAAAGGGCAGACGATGTATACAGCAGAGATACGTTCCTTAAAAAAGGAACAAAGGAAAATTTGAAAAAGTAAAAGCCCAGAACTTTGTGGCAGAGGCGTTTTCAGATTAAAACAAATATATTCAGCACAGATGAACACAATACACTGATAATACATTTTCATAAGTCATTTTCACTATTTTAGGTAAAGTTTACGCAGTCGGAGGTCATGATGGTAACGAGCACTTGGGCGACATGGAGATGTTTGATCCCCTCACTAACAAGTGGATGATGAAAGCTTCAATGAACACCAAGAGGTAACCAATGACCAGGACGTTTGTATTCATATTGTATTTGTAGTCATAGCCTAGGAAATGAAAAGAGACAGAATCTGCTGTGCACTCCACTGTACTTTGCTCTGTTTACTGTTTTCATTGGCACCATATACTGTGTATTGCACCAGCCCAGTACTGTGTTTTTTATGTGAACTCTCTTGTATTGCTGTTTTTTTAATTGGATTCTTTCAACTTTGCTGATCTGAAGAGCTGTTCAATCTGTGTTTCTCCAGTTCCAGCTCTCTAAGCAGCACTAATTTATTTTCTTCTTCCTAATAATTAATCAGATAAACTTCCACAGTAACTTTATTAAAAACTGACATTATTTTGAGTGCATTTAACATTTTATTGTCATGTTAGCACTGGTGAGAATGGAAAAAAAAACAAGCAAAATAAGTTAAAATTAAAATACTGGTTTTTGACCTATTTTCCTGTATTTTTTCTATCCTCAGTTTCTGGATGCTGTACTAAAAAAAACTCAGTAAAATCCATAAGAGCACAAGTGCTTTAATTGAACTGTTATTGTTTTTTAGGAGGGGTATAGCCCTGGCGACTCTCGGTGGTCCGATCTATGCCATCGGAGGCCTGGACGATAACTCCTGCTTCAATGACGTGGAGCGATATGACATTGAAAGTGACTGCTGGAGCGCCGTGGCTCCCATGAACACCCCCAGAGGGGGAGTGGGATCTGTGGCACTGGGGGTGAGAACACAGAGGGATTCAAGTAAATTGTGACTGAAGTAAAATATCTACTCACTGCTTCTGTGTTTTTTTTTTCTCTTCCTGGCAGAATTTTGTGTATGCAGTGGGGGGCAACGACGGCGTGGCCTCACTCTCCAGCGTGGAGCGCTACAATCCACACCTGAACAAATGGACGGAGGTCTGTGAGATGGGACAACGACGAGCTGGAAATGGAGTCAGCAAACTGAACGGCTGCCTCTATGTAGTTGGTGAGGAAATAAAAAAAGAACAAAAAGAAAAAAGCACATTAGAAAATTGGTATTTGTTAAGCTAAATTTAATTCTCTTCCCTCAGAAATTTTGCACAAATATATATATATTTATATATATATATATATATATATATATATAGATAGACAGAGAGAGAGAGAGTCATAAAAAATATTTATAATATTTATACGTTTGTTATTTCTCTGTATTGCTCTGATTTAAAAAGTTATTGTTTATACAGTACTATACATAGTAGTAGTTATACCTCATCTTCCAAGGCTGGTGTATTTGGATACACCTCTGTCACATGACTACAGAACACACACCGTATCATTTAATACACAACAGTATGAAAGATGAGAGTTGGTGTTTTTACTGATCTGGTAACTGTTTAACAAAGTTCAAGTGTTTCTTTAGCACCAGCTTTAGGTAAAGAGTCATTCAAGTTCAACAACGTTTTGCTGTCTCTCTTGAGTTTCTTGTATTTGGAGTTTATATAACTCCATTTGTCCCATTTCAAACATTTTCCTTGTTCTACAGGTGGTTTTGATGACAACTCTCCTCTCAGCTCCGTGGAGAGATTTGACCCACGAACGCACCACTGGGAATATGTGTCCGAGCTGACCACTCCACGTGGAGGTGTGGGCGTTGCTACTGTAATGGGAAGGGTCTTTGCTGTCGGCGGCCACAACGGGAACATCTACCTGAACACAGTGGAGGCTTTTGAACCTCGAATGAACAGGTAAAAGAGCAGGAGGTGAAGACGAGGAGCTGTGTCATTAGATCACACTCCAGAACCTCTACACTAAAAGTAACTGAAGATAAATGTATTGCAGGTTGTTATTTTTTATTTTCTGTTTTTTCACAACATTTTAAAGCTTTGTTTTAGTGTTCTGTAATGACATTTGCGTGTGTTTGCTCTTCAGGTGGGAGCTGGTTGGTTCAGTGTCTCACTGCCGTGCCGGAGCCGGAGTTGCCGTTTGTTCATCTCACGTCAGCCAGATCAGGGACATCGGCCAGGGCTCCAGCAACGTGGTCAACTGTATGTGACAATTACGGCCATGTGACAGACAGACTGCTTGGGTCATCTGTAGATCAGGTCGCTGCACAAGCTCCTAACACAAACCAGACAAATGGTCTGACCTACAGCTGGTCCACAGCAGCGCTGACTGATCTGAACTCCTCTCCTCTCTAACCCGACCCATTCAGTACATTATTCCTGACATTTGAAGACAGTTTTTTTGTGATCAGTGATGTATTGTTTTGTACTGTGTTTTTTTTTTTTATTTCACGAGGCTCAACTTTGATAAAGATTTGACTTCTCAAAGGGAAAAGAGTTCATCAACTTTGATAACGTTTTGACTTCTCAAAGGGAAAAGAGTTCACTGCTGTACTCTGACAAGGAGAGGAGAGTCTGGTTTAACTGCTGAGTCAACTGTATACACAACGGCTCTGTAGTGAGCCACTATAAAAACTAAATCCTTGAGACTATCACCAGATCACTCCAGAGCTCTGTAGAGGATTTCATACAGGTGACACCAAAATGCTAAAAACAATTTTTCTACCAGTTCATGTCCAGGTTGTTAAGGAATCTATCAGATTTTTTTCAGGTTCTAAAAATGTTTATCTACAAGGCTCATCAGGTACCACCAGTAGGACCAACGTTACAATACTGCAGCACAGGCTGACCAGGCTGTCAGTAATAAGATTAGCATTTTTAGCTGCCAAAAATACTGCAGAATGAAGTAGGACTCTTAGGGTGAGTATTTTATAACCCAGTACCTCAACCTGAAAAATAATTTTTTTAATATATATCACTAAAGCAGGGTACAAAGTACCACTGCTGGTACACGTACCACATGTTGAGAATCATCGTGGACTCATCTTTCTCTGAGTGTAGGCTTTTTAAATCTACAATCCAGAATTCTATACAATCCCCTGTAGCTGCTGCTGTGAAACAGAATCAAACTGTGCATTTCCGGCATCTGACTGTAATTATGTGTGAACAATCATTATACGGCCGACTCCGACAAATCCGAGTCTGGGTCGTACGTCAAACGTCCAAACATGCAATTGAAACGGATGCAAGTGCCAAACACTAACGTGTGCATCAGCTGTTCTCACCCGGACCTCATTAATGAGGACTGTTGTAGATTTTTAGTGATGTTGATATTGATAGCTGGGCTGTCTGTGATTCCAGTCAGATTTTTTTTAATGTGTTTAATAATAATTCAGTCTGGATTTATCTCTTCAGATGAGTCGGTTTATATTTTAATATATGGACTTTTTCTATGTATGGACATGTGTTACCTTTGTTGTTTTTTTGGGTTTTTTTACTTTTGAAAACTAATCCATTGCTGTGCACTATTTGTTTTTTAAATAAACAAGAAGTGGAGATATATTTTTGTCCTAACTATAGAATTTCACCTGGGTGTGTTGGAGTTTAGAGATGTTTATTTATCACCCATGCTGATATCTGCCATATCTGAGAGAATCGAGATACTGACGGGTTTGTTTAGGCTGAAAAGACTATAATAAAAAAAAATACAGTAAATATATATATATATACACATATATATAATGGTTCACACTAAAGGTGTAGATATAATTGTGCAATTACAATTACAATTTCTATTGTTGAACTAAATTTGTTGCCAAGGGTGTTAACAAATGAGCCAGGTAAAAAAGTCTTTTGTAGAAATTACCGTGATATTTCTGTTGTACTTCCTTCTAGTGCTTTTTATTCTCGTGGTACTGATATATATTAGTAGAATAAAGTTGTGTATTCTCTGTTGAAATGTTTTTGTGTTTTTATTATTATTATTAATATTATTATTTTACTTTAGTAGTGGGTGTTACACTCAGGATAATTTAAGAATTGAAAATATACTGTATTTGTTGGGACTTTTTTTAAATTTAATATAAATATATAATAAACATATTTATAACAGCCACTTCAGCCACTTAGCATTGGTTAAACTCTGCGACCTAATTCAATCTGACTGTTTTTTAAACAAACATAAATAAGATTAAAAATGAATACAGTTTTTACACTTAATCACAAATCTACTTCCGTATGACTTTCAATCCTGTAGTACTTCAAGCGCAGTAACATTAATTCTGAGTGATTGCTAAACTGATCCACAAACGTTGTGTTGGATCAGCACGGAAGTAGTTTTTATGGCATCTGAATTAGTTAATTCAGTATCGAGTATTTGATGGTATATGGTTGGCTGCTTTGTTTTATTAGACATTCAATTATACAACTGAATGATAAAAGCTTTCATCCCGTTGTCTTAGAGCCAATAGAATCTCCAGATTGAGTTCATTAACATGTCATATCTACTGATTGTTCTATTAAAGTCGGTTAAAGAGTAACTGTGCAGCGCAGCTTATTGACAGTCGTCATGTGGTTGTTATACGACGTCTGTTGGACTTTGTGGTTTCGCTGTGATATATTCACTCACCATCACTTTATCATGAACTGGATTTACATTTTTCACACACATAAATGATTATTGACACGTCACTCTCCATAGACACACTGTTTTCTGTATACTATTAACATAATGCGTTAATGCTAATGTTTTGGCTAACAAATAAGTTAATAGTTTAAGGCCTTTTAGCTTGCATAATTAAACATTTTTTCTATATTAAGGCATTTACTATAGAATGTGTTTTTTGTGTTATTTGAATTGTTTAGCTTTACTGTAGTCGACCTTATATGGTGGTACTGTATGTGTGTCTCTGAGTATTTGTATGTGAGAAATATACTGTTCATATATTTAAAATAGTAAATTAACATTTATTTTAAATTTATTTTAAAATATGAAAGAATATTTTAAATACGACTGTTTGTCTTTTTATCACTGATTATTTTTTATAAACAAGCAAAACACATGAGGATGTTATTCTAGTGTAGACGTCAGAATGATGCATTTTACTGCTTTCAGTCTTTGGACCCTGGACTGATGCTGAAAAGGTGATGAAGTGCAGAAAAGATGCTCAGACGTGGGAACACAGACAGACGGAACCTGACCTTACACACACACACACACACACACACACGCACACACACAGTGTCTGCTGCAGGAGTGGACACAGATATAAACAACAACTACAGCTGTAGGATGAGGAACAACTCATCACCACAGGTTAATTAAAACAAAACAAACAAAAAAAACAAAACATGGACGGAGATCAGAGCTGTTTTCTGTGGCTGCTCGGCTTCGCTGCTCTCTTTGTCACAGGTAAGTTCAGTATTAATTTGAAAACGATGATCGAAACACCCAATTATATTTAGTTAAAATATTGAAATATTGAAATGTCTGATATTTCTAGAGTTTCTATAGGTGTTCGTCTTTTAAAGTGGTGACATTTTGGTTTTAGATACAGTTTTTTGGATGGGGGGTAAACGCTACATTGGATTGGAGGATAATCAACACATTACACCTAACATACGCTGTTTTGATGCGTTTTTAGTGAGAGTAACTTTGAAGTTTTACATTTCTTAGTTTGTATTAAACCTGACTGAACCACAGTAATGAAAAATACATTTAAATAAATAAACAAATGTTAAGAATAAATTCAAATAAAGTAGTGATGATGGTGATACTGATGGTTCAAATGCGTCCCTGTACTGTCTGACATCTTAGACTGTTGTGCTATAGTTGTACGTTTACCATAATCCGCTACAAAGAATTGAAAAGAAAATAAACAATAAATAACAAATCTTTACTGAGAGTCTGTACTGAGAATCATGTGACTGTGTGGTGTCTCTGAAGTTGTTAAAGTCAAACATTGTCCACATATTTGTCTGCGATTTGACCGATGTGACTGGAAGTGTCATGAGACTTTTATGATGGACGTTCACACAAATGACTGTGCATCTTTTTACTGCTGACTTAGAAAATGGTAATCAGATTACTTGGTTCTACTGAGCTACTAAAGTTACTGCAAACTATGCATTACAACAAACGTAAAACTGTTTATTGAGTTCATATCCAAGACTTTGGGCTTTTACAAATCTAAAACATTAAGAAGAAAAGATTAGGTTTTGTTTCTTATAAAAACCCTAATAATAATCAAATGGTATATTAAAATGGATCATCAAATTAAACGCTGATATAGTTGATATACTAACTCCTCTGAACATAGAGTGGGATATTGAAATTGTTTTATTTTACTAGAAAAGTCAAGGATTAGGCTTTAAATCACCTTTTAATTCCATTTTCTTTGCGGTGCACAGAGGCTATATAATATTAAATTATAAATATAAATTATGATTTAGCCCAAATCTTGAGAAATATATATATTAGCCAAAATATAGCACGCATTGCTATATTTTAACCCCTGGCGATATCACATAGTTAGCCCAAATGTAGCTTAGGAGGTTAGCCAAGACAGAAAAGTCAGTCAGAAAATAGCTAAAAAAAAATTTACAAATACAATTTGTGTGTGTGTGTGTTTTATATTTATATTTTTACAAATACAATTTTTAATATATATAATTGGCCAGAAGGTATTCAGTGTGCAAATATGTGTGTGTTATATATATATATGTATATATACATAAATATTTTATAGAGTAGGTCACATTAGTAAACAAAATAGACTAGCAACACTGCTACATAATATTAGCATAGTAATAGCATTTTCCCAAAAACTTAAAAAAGAGCCTACCATTTGCAACAAAAAAAAAAACTTAAACAAAATTGTCTCTTTTTTTCCATAGTCTGTGTTTTAACGTGTGTTACTGCAAATCCTCAGATCTATTTTTTATTCACAATGTATTTTCAGCTCAGTGCCAGTGTCACGCCGGCTGGAGGATATATAAGAACAATTGTTACTATTTTTCAACGGATCAAAAGTCCTGGCTGGACGCTAATGCATACTGTCTGGGGCAGAGGAGTAACTTAATGAGTATTCAGGACATTCAAGAGAGGGTGAGGAAAAACACGGCAGCAAGTTGTTGAAGTACTGAATACCATGTCCCACATGTATGTCGTACTAGGTTACTGTATTGTTGTGAATTATCTGTAGATGTGGCTGAGAACACAAATCGGATCGGACATCTACTGGTTTGGTCTGAATGACCGGGTCACAGAGGGAGTCTATCAGTGGAGTGATGGAACGCAGTTCATAGAACATCTGTCGTAAGTACTACTACGATCAACTAACCCGTCAATCATCCAAATGATGTGTTTATTTCTGACAGATTTTTTTTTCTGCACAGTTACTGGATGCACGGACAGCCTGATAACTGGGATGATGAAGACTGTGGTCAGGTGGTAGGATACAACTATGGACAATGGAATGATGACAAGTGCAGTAGTGAGAGAAAGTACATCTGCAAACATGTCAATCGTACGTTAACCTACAAAAATGCTCTTTTTAATTCTCTCTCTTTTTAAATACATTTAAACCTGTGGTGTTTTTTTATAATTTGAATTGCACCATAGTACTTAGTAACAAAGGATCATGAATTATTGTAAGAAGTTTGTCCCCTCTGGTTCCTTTTTTGTTGTTTAAAGCATTGTTTCCCAAAGACTGGGTTGCAACCCTCAGAGGGGTCGCAAGAGACTTTATTTTTAGGTCGTCTCACATCATGTTTTCCAGGAGTTTACAAATAATGTTTATTGACTTGGGTCGGGAAGATTTGTGACTTTTAAACTATGGGTCCCCAGAAAAACAAGTTTGGGAAACACTGGTTTAAAGGTACAGTTTACAGGATTAGTTGAATATTTTCTGTTGTAGTATGTATTTTTGTTAGGCATGGATAGGAGAATATATATCATTCCAAACAACACAGGAAGTACCAACCTTGTCTACTGTTGTCTGCTAGAGTAGAATTTCATCATTTTTATCCAAAACTAACTTTTTGATGTTTAGAAACTCTTTGGTCAGAACACATTTCCCCAACATTTAGAAACATGGTTATTATTATTATTATTGCTCAGGAGTAATACATACATGAGTGGAATCCTATCTTAACACATAAATCAGAAATAAGCCTTACCTTTACTTCATGTTTCATGTCCTCAGCCAATCCTAGTCCACAGTGTGATCTCAGCGCTGGCTGGACACCATTCGGCTCAAACTGCTACAAGTTCAAGGCCGACGCCAGGAAGACTTGGAACGCTGCCAGACATGATTGTGTGCAAGAAGGAGGAGACCTGGTGTCCATAGTCAACACAGAAGAGCAGCAGTTCCTGCTGGGACAGTTGGACAATTCAATGTTGGACCCTTGGATTGGATTCTCCACACTGGTGAGAGGAAATGAAAAATGCAAATTTGTTTGGTTATTTTTTTGTTTTGTTTTTTACACGATATTTCTTATTATCAGCATAAAGATGAGTTTGTTTTCCTCCTTCAGACGTGCACCCAGATTTCTTGTCAAGTTACTGCAGGAAACACCCAGTTTAAATGGTCTGACTCAGTCACAGCCTCTTACACAAACTGGGCTACTGGTGAACCTACGGTGTAAGACTTAACTGTACCAAGACACCATAATTAGAATTAATTAGTAATAAATGTGTGTGCAGTTTTGATTCACACACGTCTTTTCCTAAACAGTGATCAGCAGTCAGGCTCATGTGCTGCAGTCATCAAAGATTCATCTGGTGATTATGGGAAATGGCGCTCACACCAGTGCAGATATGAGCGCCCATACATGTGTAAACGACCACTAAACAGTAAGATAAAGAAAAAAAGAAAAAAGAACAAGTTTCAGTTTTATGCATAGAATGGATTTGAATTTTTATTTTATTTTATTTCTTCCCTATGTAATTTGCAGCCATTTGTCCTTCTGGCTGGCTGAGCTTCTCTGGCAGTTGTTACTGGTTGGTCAGTAATATTAATCTTCTGACCACATGGCACGAGGCCTTCACCAGGTGCTCTGATGTGGGGGCTCACTTACTCATCATCAACAGGTATGAACTGACTTTACTGTTAGCATTGCTGATGTTAAAACCCCATTTACTTGTATCTTAATCCCATATTAAAACTGGTCTGTAACTGCTAACAAATTAATAAAATACCATAAACATCTGTGATATACTGTAGCTATGCTGTCAAGTAGCTATTTTAAGAACTAATATACACTAATACAATGCATGAAATATCATAAAATAAGCATTTTACAAAATTCTGAGAAACAGAAATGTAAGAGCTTAATTTCAGACAAACTTAGAACTTTTTTTTCCCCCCATCTGGCCTCCTTCAATTCTCGAAAAAATTGAAAATGTATATATAAAAGTATGCCATTAGTCTTAGGGGTACAGTAAAGGCAGTTTCCATAGCCCAGGTTAGCTACATGTGCTATCTTTGTAGCTTCTTTGGGGTTTAAACAGTAGCTTAGCATCATCTGACACATATGTCCATACTTCCTGTAGCCCCATTGGAAATGTCATAAATGGTTGATTTTCATAAAATTTTATCAATTCGTTTTTATTACACAATTCAGCATAAACATAACTCGAGTTTTCAGAACTTAAACATTCCCTCAAAGAAGCTAGCAGGCTAAGTGGCTAAACTATATCATGAAGTTGGTGTTTGAAAGCAGGCTACAGAACCTCAGTACAGTTTACTCTGAGTATAAAAAAGTCTAAACTAGAAGACAAGGTACTTACAAAGTCTGTGAATGAAAGTACAAGGGCAGCGTGGTTGGTAAACCACGTGAGCAGTGATGAACAGAGAGTGAAGCCAGGGGAAGAACACAGGTGAAAGATATTGGGCAGAGGCAGCCAATCAAAAAACAAAGATGGAGGTAAAACATGACACAGAATACAGAAGGGAACATGGCTGACAGACAGACAGACAAACAGATAGACAGATAGATAGATAGATAGATAGATAGATAGATGGATAGATGGATAGATGGATAGATAGATAGATAGATAGATAGATTATTTACTAAATTATTTACTAATGGTTGTGATTAATATATATATATATATATATATTTTGCAGTCAGGACGAACAGTACTTCATCAATGGCAAACTCCCTGACTTCCACCAAGTGGACATTCCTGACATTTGGATCGGTCTTTCAGGTTAACAATAGATTTTTTTCTATTGTTATTGTTGACTTTTTTACTTCTTATCGAGCAACATACAGAATACAAGGAGATTTTATGTCTTAATTGTATATTATTTGTGACATATTTATCTATATTTTACACTGGTATTACCAGATAAGGACAAAGATGGAGAATTCAAATGGGTGGATAAAAGCACGGTTCAGTTTTCTAACTATGGTCCTGGTTGGCCAGTGAACACCGTAGGTATCTGGGACTGTGGGCAGATCTTCACAGGTAAGGACTGACACTGAAACGTCTTTTCTCAGATTAATTTAACACGTTTTTTTCTGCACCAGCCAAGTTCAAAACTCTGTTGCAGGAAACTATGACGGCCCGTGGGAAACCACCAACTGCTTCAGGAGCCTCGGTTACATCTGTGAGATGACAGGTGGACAGAATCCTAAACCAACTCCAGCTCCTGGTCAGTGGGATCAACAATCATTTTCCAACACAGCACTGTTAAAAACATTTAGTATTTACAGGTGCTTCATGTTCCCTGCAGACTCCCACTGTGACAACGGGTATCTGCTGTACAGAGACTTCTGTTATCACTTTGAGACAGAGACAGTGAAAAGTTGGCAAGATGCTGAGGATCACTGTACCAGTGAGCAGGGTCACCTGGTCAGCTTCCATTCAGAAGAAGAGCTCAGCTTTCTGACTGGTCAGCAGCCACCTGTGCTTAACTCAAGTCAATAATAAAAAGAATACTTTGGAATTCTAATCAACATCCCTATTGGTTAATCTGCAGCCCACATGCCGGCAGAGGCCTGGACTGGACTGAACGACATCCATGTTGAAAACCAGTGGGTGTACACCGATGGAACTCCTGTGGTGAGTAATAAGATGGACGGGTCCTCTGTTATACCCAAGAAATTAATTTAAAAATACTGAATTTTCTGGACTATAAGTCACACTTTTTTTCACTCCTTTGGCTGGGTTTGCAACTTATACTTAGGTGCGACCTATATATTAAAATATATTTCACATTTGTTATTTTCACACTGACAGCTGCTAGAGGGCACTGGTGTTTTGGTTAAAAAAAAGGGGGGGTTTGGTACAATGTGATCGCCTCATTTTACCTCTGCACAGTTAAACTATTAATCTGCTGTCTTAAAACATCCTAATGTGTCAACTTGTGTTGGTGGGGGCGTCAACAATCCTATCTACCAACAGGGGGCGCTGCAGAGGATTATTTTGACTATTTTGCTCTGAGCTGATCTGTTGCGTTGTGCTGTGCGTCTCTCAGGACTTTGTTCTGTGGGAACCCAACCAGCCTGACAACTTGCAGAACAATGAGGACTGTGTCCACATCCGAGGGATGAACCACCAGAACGCTGGGAAGCTCAACGATGACATCTGCACTGCCTCAAAGGAATATGTCTGCAAAAAAGGTCTGACACTCTCACTAGTCAAAACCTCAATGCTCTTCCCTTTGACTTAATGTTCTTTGAAATCCGCAGCCAAAGGAGCAGGTCCTCCTCCTCAGCCCCCGACATCTGGGCCAGGTCAGCTTC